TCTGATTTGCAAGGGGGAGGAGGAGATGTGCGAAAAGGATGTAAGTTAGAAGATGAACCTGCAGCATAAATGCCACAACTAGCACTGTGATAAAGAGTGTAGCAGTCTCAAACAATTGGAAGTTCAAGTCCATTGGTTTTCCCATGAACCAACCAACAACAACACAAAATGGAATCTGCATCATCAAAAGCATGAGATCTATGAATAAGCAACTTGATTTATAAACTCCGTCATAATCTTTTAAATAAATGCTTAATATCACCCAGAAGGTGAAAGCAAAAGTATTTACAGATTAATATCACAAGTATGTCCCTTCTCGAACCTATCAGATCTATAAATTCCATGGCTCACTATAACAATTCTACTTACACCAAAAAAAAAATATGAAATTCTTGATCTTTTGAATAGAGCTTTCTTTGCTTTCAAACACCTCCCATTTCTTTCCTTCCACATGGAACACCAAGCTCTATTTATCTTTTTTTATTGTTAAATGGACCACCAAGCTATAAAATTTGGATAATTACAAATTAAATACACCAATACAAACCAACCAAAAAGGAAAAATTAAACAAAAAAATCCAGTATGTTCTTAGGACGGCCTATATGAATTTAAATAAAAAATAAGAACTAATTTTCTTTGTTATGGGCTAATTTCTATAAGCTACCTAGTTCAAATGTTTAATACATCAAATTATAAGACCTTACCACAAACATTGATATCTGAGTAGAGGACCCAATCGCAACTCCAAGTGTAATGTCCTGCAAACAGTACTCCTTGAGTAACCTATTCTGAGCAAATGAGAAAGTGAATATGGTTTTTCAAGAACTCACAAGCTTATCTTTCATTGCAAACATGATTGCACTTGCATGTTCTGCAGCATTTCCTACAATTGGAAGCAAGATGACACTAATAAAGGACACAGGCATGTTCATTGAGTCGGATGCTCCCTGAGATCGTATTAGCAACAAACAAATTAGGATGAAGAACATAAAAAGAAAATCGAAGTCAAAAGAACTTAAAACAAAACTTATATAGCTTTTGATAATTAATTCCCAAAAAAGGAGAAAAGATAAGGTGAAGGAAACTATGACAGTTGATAATAAAAAGTCCCTAGGTTAGCACAATGATATTAGCATTCAACTTCAAGAAAATGCTAGCCTCTCAAATACATCAGTTAAGAAGGGCATGGGCCAAAAAATTTAATAAAACAAAAGGAAAAAGAAAGGTTACCTCTATGGCATCAACAAGATACCCAGATAGTACAGATATCCATACTGTCAAAATAGCAAGCCACCCTATAGCTTCCCATTGTGTTATCTCAGGAGCCTCTTCTTCATCAGAATTTTCAGCATTATTCTCTCTATCCTGTTCAGATATCAGACAATAATTAGAAACAAACTAATACATTCTGCAGTAACATAAGTTGGTATGAAGATCACATATCACGGTACAAGTTTATCTGGAAAAACTGAAATCTGCAGCAAACCTATATCCTCCATAACAGGCATCTTACTAGATAGGACGAACAGTGTCAATGGCTATTGCTGCAGACGACCATGGAGAAATACAAGCTGAATAATAGAGGAAATAAACTATCAACCTATTCCAAGATTTTCAGCAATTTACCTCATCGATTGAGCTATATAGATTTGGCTGACTCTTGAGCTGAAAAAATAGGTAACTTGCATATGCCACCAGCATTATGCAACTGCTAAATCTTGAAAGAGCCAGCTCTGACTTCCCAAAATGCACTTCTGTGTGGGTGAAATGAAGTACAGCGGGAAATAATAAGCCCATGACTGCCATCAATAACAATCCTGAGTTCACGAGGGCAGTTGCCTGCAATTTAAAGATTTTCATTAGCATTAGCATATAACATTAGAGAGAGCACATTGGTGCTGAGATAATACGAAATTCCACTGAAGCATCAACATTCACAAAAGATAAAAGTGCTAACTTCATTGCAGGTGAGGACATGATTGATCAGAAGATAATGACCTTACTGAAAACCTGGACTTTCTGCTGATGAACAATCCCACCACAGAAGAAGGCACATCCAAGCACCAAGAGCATATTTGATAAAATGGAACCCAGCAAGGATTGTTTAACAACCCTCATCATCCCATTATTCAATGCATATAATGAGATTATCATTTCAGTAGCATTGCCAAATGTAGCATTTAGAAGTCCCCCAACTATACATCAAAAATAAGGAAAAGTCATTCTGATAATCAAAAGAAGTGTAGTGGGGGGGAGGGGGAATTATGTCTCACACAAGATATCTTTGAGTAAATGCAAATGTTAAAATACTTCCAGCAAAGGGCAATGAGAACAACAGAAGTACAGAAAAACCATAAAACCATTTAAATAGGGAACAAGAAAATCCTATCTAGTGACTCTAGTCAAGGAGGATAATATCCAAAAAAAAATTACTTTAAGGGGTTTCAATTACCTGATGACTCAATTTCACTGTGAGAACAAAACTTTACTCACATTTTTCTATGACTAAATTCGCATTCAACTTAAACACTAAGATTAAGCAAGCAAAGCTAAATTCTTTTTCTTTTTTTAATAATCATGGTGTCCAGACAACTTGCTTACACCTCAACTAATTGCATGGGTACCTACTACCACCCACCAGCACTGTTATGGAGTAACTCTGTTCACGAAAGATTGTAAGATGGAAAGAAACCATCTAGTGTTTTGTCACAGCAAGGATTCGAACCTCGGACCTCATGGTTCTCAACCCAACTTATTGACCACAATGCCATACTCTAGGGTGCCTAAACCTAATACTCTCCATAAGTAATCCCAATAGTGAAAAGTTCTTCAATAATAGAAACAAAGATCAAGAAAATGGCAAAACTATCAAAAGATAATAGCTACCTGTAGGCCCTGTATAGAATGCAAGCTGCCTGTGTCATGACAATCAAAGAAGTCAATGAGCATGTAAAATAACATAGTAGCAGAGGATAACTGAATAACTTGAAGAGCATAAGCATACTCAGTCGCATAACCCAAACGCTCAGCTAAGGGTGTAATGCCCACCAAACTGAAGAAGAACACCCACTCCTGAAATATCAAGATGAACCCAAAGAAAAGCACAATCAACAAAGTAAGAAAACAATAAAAAGGTAAGTTCAAAATTGAGGTAAATAGCAATAGCTTGAGACTTTATACATGTTTTTTTGTTAGATAGTGTAGCAGTATCGCCAATGGTCCAAAAGGAAGCAAAACATTGATCTTTGCTTTAAGTATCACAAAGTATACACTCCTAAAATAGCTGATCTGATGCACCTTCCTCAAGACTCTCGAGGAGTAAAAACTTCTAGGCGACGCCATATGAGCTGACTCAAAATGCAAACTCTCTATCTTGTTTGTCGCATGAGATGAACTAAAGGAGATCTCCTCATCAGATTCAATGTCTAACTTATCCCCTACAGATCCCATCTCAACACTTGAAAAAAAGAGCCAACTTTATACAGCTGAAAAAAAATCACAACTTGGGTTAAATTTCAGTAAACCCATAACTTAAATTAGTTCATAATTTCACTAACAATTACCTCAATGAATCAAATTTAAAATGCTCAGACACATAAGAGGGCCCCTAATTGAGCAAAACAAAAAAAATACAAGAAACCCAGATCAAATTTCTCATAAAATGTGGAAAAAAACCAAGAAAAAGCACATACAGAAGGAAAGTTGCAGCCTATTGTATATACCAGAGAAAACAATCAGTGGGCGAATCGAATCGTGTACTGATGTGAACAGCAAAGCTGAGTAGTTTACATAAATTAAGAGAAAAATATGTATAGAGATAGTGTATAATAGTAGAGAGATAAATACAGAGAAAAATTCGTCGGTGAAGCGTGAACTGGCCGGCGACAGGGAGGAAGAAGAAGGTTCTACGAAGAAGCGCTTAATTTCATTCTAATCTTTTTTTATTTTAAAGATTTGTAGTTACGAAGTTAACTTTTTCCAATTTAAGTAAAAATTTATATGAGTTAATTTGAATTTTGTAAGAAATTTCATAAAATAAATAAAAAAATTAGAAACTTATGCTTTAATTTTTAAAATAAAGCATATTCTGTTGCTCCGTTTTTAATTACTTGTCAATTTTTTTTAAATGTTTTTAATTATTTTTTCTATTTTGAAAAATTAAGAAAAGATAAAATATTTATATTTATTACTCTCAATTAATTACTTTAAAAAAGATAAAATTTCTTTAAAATCATAAATTTTTAATCATTTCACAGCATAATTAATAGAGATAAAATGATAAATTTATTATTTCAATAATTATTTTTTAATAAATCTGTCAATTCAAGAGTGGACAAGTAGTTAATGAGATGGAATCATATTTTTGTGACAAGTGATTTATTTTATTAGGAATAAAATAAGCATTTTAAGATTAAATTCTTATAGAGGTAGAAAGGTGTGATTCTTGAAATGGAGGGAGTAGTGTACGCTATAATGTATATTAACCTGTTTTAATTTATTCGAATTACTTATCTTTTTAATTTGTTTTTAAAGTATCTTTTTTAACGATATTTTAATACATCAAACATAAATAATAACACAAAATTAAAAAATATTAGTATTACTTTGAGTCAATAGGGGTTTATCTTTCTTTTATAGCCACAAAAAAAATAGAATTGACTAAAATCAGTAATTTCTTCTTCTTTTTTTTGTTTGTTTTTTTGGGGTGGGTGGATTGGTAAACGATTACTTTATTTTACACGCTTCAAGTTGCCAACTTGATCATAGAGGTCTATTTCCTCTCCTAACTTATTTTCCAAAGAAAAAATAGTTCAATTTTAAAAAAAAATAAAAAAATCGATAAGCGAAAACAAGAGAGTAGAAACAGTTAAATTTTGCTCAACGAACAGCATAATGCAGCCCTTCTGTGCTTTAGAGCCACAACTAGTATTAGAATCATGCTTCGTTTCGCATTAGACTAGGCAATGTAAGTATAATATATAACTTAACGACAGCGATAAAGGAAGAACCTTAACTAGTTAGGCTTGAGAACAAAAGCTTAAAATTCTTTTGAATCACACAGGAGTGTTGGCTTTTAAGACATTACAGCCAAGAGATTATTGCTGTTTTCGATCCAAAGTCTAGTTACTATCTTGTTATTGGAAGATGAATAGGTCCAGGAGACAAGCACTGTACAGTGCAAGGACAGTACAAAAATTCATAGAACATCAAAAAGAAAATTCCAAGATTCACCCTCGTGCTCAATTTTCAGGAGTATCAGAGCGGATGGCTGTAAAAAGAACATCAGAAGTATTTGTTAGAAGACCGAAGATAAAAGGTATGCAATGAACACATAAACGGACCAGCCAAGCCAACTTTTGACTCTTGGAAAAATGGAAAAAGAACACACTGCAATCATGTTGAAACAAGAACCTGATACTCTGGTATTCTTCACCAAGCAAAAAGTAAAGGAGTATAATGACAATGACTGATTGTCTTCATCCAAAAAAAAAATGACAATAGGATACAAGCATATGGCCTTCCCTTCATGCAAGCTTTTATCCAGCATCATCCTCGCTAATTCAATCTTGAGAGGCAAATATTAGTCAATAACCCCGGGACCCTAAGAGGGTGGCATAGTGGTCAAAGAACAGGAGTAACACAACCTTGGGAACTAAAGTTCACCTCCTATGTGCATACACCCATCTACTTAAACCTAAACCTAAGCAGGCAAGACAAATTTGATATCTATAATGACCTAGTTTTGTTCCCTATTCCTCCTAAACAATGGACTCAATGACCTTTTGGGATATGGCTATCTTTGAGCAGTTGTGATGACATCTAACCCCACACTTCACACCAAAGGTTGTCACTGAGGATATTTACAAGAGGAAACAGGAAAATTAAGGTGGACAGTTCAACAACCTGGGAATTCATTTTTCAACAGCAACAATTGGTACTCCTCAGTCTTAAACAACTAGAAATAAGCTACACCAATCCTTTCTACCCATCAATTCTCGATGTAAATTCATCTCTTTGAATCGGAAGGATTCATCATGAATTGGCTGGTTTTATCCTCGCTACCAAAGAACCACAAACCTCCCACCTTATCCGGGCTTCATACAGGCTAGGGTTGGGCATAAACACCGAAAAACCGAAACACCGTACCGAACCGAATTTTTTTGGTATTTCGATTTCGGTTTTTCAATTTTCGGTTCGGTATACGGTATATGTTTTTGTATTTTTCGGTATTTCGGTTCGGTTTTCGGTATGTAATTTTGTGTTATTCGGTATTTCGATTTACCGAAATATATTATATTATAATATATATTTATATTATATTAATTATCAATATTAAATAATAAATATTATAATTTAAAATAAAAAATTAAAAAGTAAAAGACTTTTTGATGTAACTATTTTTAGCCCATTAAGCTGAAAAATCAAGCAAAAAAATTTGTAAATTTTTAAAAGCCCAACTAAGCAGGCCCATTAAAAAAATTGAAATAACAAAACCGAACCGAAATAATAAAAACCGAACAGAAATAATAAAATCGAACCGAACTGAAATATTTCGGTCGGTATTCGGGACACAATTTACAAAAACCGAAAACCGAAAAAACCGGAAAAAGAACCGAAACCGAACCGAAATACCGATTGCCCACCCCTAATACAGGCAATGTGACCGAAGTCAAACTAGCAAAGTTAGCCGAGAAAAAACACAATTAAGAGCAAAAAAATGATGACATCAAATCTCATTAGATACAATGTCTTTATTAAATCATATGAAACCAACATAAATAACATTTTGAGACAGGTCAATGGTACTGCCCACAGGGCCTTAAGAGGACAATGTTTGATGTGTGCTTTGGCGCACATCTGGTTCAAACTTTTGCATTTAAAAAGGCCTGGTATTTAAGTGGAGAATAGAGGCAGAAATATGGTACTGCTTGTAGACAGTATGACTACGGATTTAAAGTATAAATATCACCGATGGTTAAGAGCTATGATATATGACCTTGCAGATAGTTTGGAAAAATCATTGATCTACATCCGCATGAAGATAAAGGTATCCATCTGTATTCTTATAACGACAAAGGAGACTATCTGTATCCTTGAAGAAATAAAGACAAGATGAAAGTGTGTGTCGATAACATGCAATCACCACCCTTCACAGAAACTAGAACACTCTAAACGTTTAATTCAAAAGCTAAAAGCGAATATAAGAAATCCTTGTTAGTTGATCGTTGTCTAGTTTTCCTTCTCAGCATTATCATTATTACAACAAAGGAGACTATCTGTATCCTTGAGGAAATGAAGGCAAGATAAAAGTGTGTCTCAATAACATGCTATCACCACCCTTCACAGAAACTAGAACACTCTAAACGTTTAATTCAAAAGCTAAAAGCGAATATAAGAAATCCTTCTTAGTTGATAGTTGTCTAGTTTTCCTTATCAGCATTATCATTTTTTCTCCCATACTACCTTATTCCTCAATTTTATTACTACTTCTTGTTTCTTTTGCTACGGTTATCATTTCATTATTGTTGCTACAGTTGTTTTCTCCGATATTTCTACATAGTTCTTCAATACACATTTCCTTATTGTACTATCTTTTCTATGCGTTATTCGAACAAAGGTCTATCAAAAACATCCTCTCTATCCTGGATCAAAGCTGCATACACACTACACACTCCAGACCCCACTAGATTGGGTATATTGTTATTGCTGCTTGTCATAGTCCAACTTCCACATAAAATAGTAACACTCCGTAAACATAAACACAACCTAATAAACTATTGATCTAACTATCCGATCTGCAATTACATTATATAAATCATTCTAACGAGGGAGTACAGACATCAAAACACCGTTTACGACCTCAATGGACGATTAAATACAAATCAATACTCAAACCTCACTCACACACTGACAGATCCAAATAAAAATCCGATCTATACTATTAGTAAGCAACCACCATTATTAATCCAAAAGAGAGAGAGATGACAATGCTTACTGGGTTTCTGAGGTTTGCCATCAGCCCATTTGGAGATGGAGTAATGGACCCTCTCACGGGAAAGGGCTTCAGCTTTGTAAGGTTCCTTCAGGCAATTCCTAACAAGATTAGCACAGAGATTTGAATAGGTTATGTAAGTCATCCCTGCTGATCTCCAGAATGGTGCTGCTGCGTTCGATGCCATTTTCTTCTCCGCCGCTCTCGATCCTTCTTCCTCCTCTTCTACTTTGAAAAGGTAATTTTGTACCTTTGCTAGCAATTTTTATTACCAAAAACACCCTTTAAGGAAAAAAATAATTGCAACTTTATTTTTTATTTTAGAGAAATCAGTCCGTCATACTTTTAAGGTACAGGTGTTTTTGTTGTTCAAAAACTAAAGTATATATATCATTTTATATTAGCAGACATATACGTGTCACAATTTTAATTTATTAAATATCATATCGACGGATAAGATTATGTCACGCATCTCTATTTAGTCATCTGTTAGAATGAATGATATATTTGCTCTAGTTTTTGGACGGCAGAGGCACCAATGTCCCAAAAATATGACGGAGAATATCTGCATATCATTTACGATAATTCGGCGTATCCCCTAGTTCTTAATTCTTATTCACAAAGACTTTTTGAACATTGTGTGACTGGTTGCAAGCCTATTTAAAAAATTGTGTGATGTATATCCACAATATGATGTAATTGCAATTAAGAGTGTGTATCGGGCGGTTTGATTCAATATTAATTATTATTAGTTTGTTTATTGATTTTTAATTTTTAAATATGCTAAATCAATAATTAAATCAATGAGATATTTGTTATCAATTTTCAATTTATCAATTTTTGGTCTTGAACGATTCAGTTTTAAATTTAGCCTATAAGAACTTTTAAAATAAATATATGACTTGTATAACAATTTAATGCGAAATAATAATTTTTTTTTAAAAAAAAAGAAAAATCAAATTACTTATTGAGTCCAAAATTTTACTTGGTGTAATGAAAGTCAAATATTCACATTTCACAGCCTTGTCATTGCCTAACCCTAGTCGTTGTCGTTGCGAACCCTCGTCGTTCTTAGTTCTTTAGGGTTTGACATTGTAAACCTAAAGACTGAAGTAATAATACTAAAACCTAAAGGGTATGAGTTAAGTAGTGTTAATTGTGAAGGGTCCTTATAGTTATACTCTAATATAGTGACTATATTCGTATTTTTTGTTTTGTATTTATGTATGATTATTGCTTAACTCAATAATTCAATATTTTAAAACTAAATTGTGAACCGATAATCCAATAATTTTGTTTTTTTATATAATCATTAAATAATTGTTAACCCAAAATCCAATAACAATAAATCAATACACTTTTTTCATTTAAATTTATTGATTGGTTCAATTTTTATACACCCACCGTTCTCTCTCATGAATGTCCATTTGTTAATACTACATTTGTTAAAAATTTATTAGAAATAAAATTGATGGAATAAAATCTTAATGAACAATTACTTTATTAAAAATTGTACAAAAAAATATAATGGTATAGAATCTTGGTTCAAAATAGAGAGTACAATGTGTATCTTGCTCCCCAGCATCACATAATTGTTGAAGATAATTTACACTAGTTGAGGCAGTGAGAATTTTTGTCATAAGATTTGTTAAATTGTTAGTTGTTTAATTATTTTATCAATTTGTGCCTCCAATTCTTTCATAAAGTTATATCTTCATATAATATTGTTTTGGAATTATAGTCTACTACGAGACTTCAAGAGTTTCAGTTCAAATCTTTGACACACCTCAAATAGACCTTGCGTATTTTAAAAATTCCATAATAGACGAATGTCGTGTCATTTTAATACTTTTCAAAAAAAATAAAAAATCTCACGCGTGCATGGTAATAAATATTTTCTATGTGGATTAAATTCAATGAGTATATACATGATAAATTTCTTAATACAAAATACTCTGTTAAAATAAAAGCTACTAGTTTTGTTCAAAACCCGTATCTAGACTTCTAGCTCCGCCCCTAGATACTACTTGCATTTTTGAAGGATTTAACACGAGTAAGGGAACATCTTTGGAGGACATGAACAACATTGTTGTTGGACTTTAAAAAAATGTGTGAATGGAAAATAAATAGTTGCGACTTTTATGAAGAGTTGTGAATTTTATGAAATGTTGCGACTTTTATGAAAAGTTGCGACTTTTATGGATAGTTGTGACTTTAATGAAAGGTGACGACCTTTCTGAAAGATTGTGACTTTTCCAAAGGTTTGTGACCTTTCCGGTAAGGCACAACAAGAATCTTTTCACACTATCCTTTGTTTTCTATAAATTGAGGGATTTCCTCTCATTTTAAATAAAATTTATGGACTTCTTCTTCAACTACTAAAATTTAGTATACTAAGTGTACTTTACTGTCGTTGAGTGGTTCGCTGACACCGGAGTTTTTGGTATCTATACTCTGGTGATTGAGATCATTTTACCCTGGGAGGTCATATTCCAAATCAAACCTCGGATACTAGAGGGGAATAATTTCCTTAAGGGGACACTGTGAATTCAGTGGACTTGATCTTTTTCCTATTAAAATTTTTCCAGATTCTGGTACGTGTTTTACAAATTTTAGATTTGTGAATTAATTTCAGTTCTTCTATTCTTTTGTTCTTCACTGGTTCATTAAACTTGGTGACTTCGTGTTTCTGCAAAGTTTTTTGGAATCAGTAAGAATTCTTTAGACACATATTAACAATAATTCTTCTTTAAGAAAAATACTTCGTATATTTTTTTTAAAAAATCTGTTTCTGATTCTAGTTTCGCTACTACTTTTAATTTTCTAGTTGTGAAAATGTTCTTAAACTTTGTTTTCTTACAAAGATATTCAAAGTTTTGTTCTAAGTATGTTTGGAATATAAGATGAACAACAATCTTAAGGAAATTATTATACTGTTAGTATTTTTTTGTATTCTATTGATTCAGAGAATCTGATCATGGAAGTAGAAGATAAATGCATTACTTCTCCATAATTCGTTGCTTTGCTTTAGCAAAGTCGAAGTGAGAATGTAACAAAAAATTTTTTTTATGATATTCCGTTTAAAGATTACCAGGTAACCTTCTTATTAAATAATCTATGGAGGAAAATAGTTTCTAAGAGTTATCATCTTTGATTTTTTTTTAAAATTATATGTATCTTTGGAAAAAGATCTGCAAACCATATGTTGTGGAATGAATTTTATTTCGCAAATATTGTTGTTTTTAAAATTCTTTAGTTTGCAAAAATGCGATATGCATATTTTTTTTTGATAAAATAGTATGTCAAAATGTTATAGTTGGAAGACAATATTTGATAAGAAAAATATTTCTATGTGAGAAAGAATATGTTATTCTGTTTGGAGAAAAAAAAAGACTTTTGTAGTTTTGTCCTCCATGAGAAATGTTAGTGCGTCTGATTTTTGTAGACTAAAAACTTTTGTGGTTTTATAAACTGAATAAATTGGACTATGCAATTGATTTGAAAAATATAAAAACTTCACATAATAAGTCGATGTTGTACTTTTGATTTTCTATGACTTCAATGTAATATAGAAATAAATTGTACAATTTTTTTGTCCTTATTGTTAGTATTTAAAATACTAAGTGGTATGTCTATTTATGATAGAGGAAAAATATCAGTGAATTAGAATTTGTGATTTTGAATTTCTATGGAATGAACATTTGACATTGTGTAAACATTGCCAAAGAAAATTGCAGCACTATAATTCATTTGTAGAATAATGTTTCCAACATTAAAATATGTGGAAAAACTATTTTCAAATATTTGAAAAATATTTTTGAGATCACATTTGAAATGTGGGGGTTATTTGCTTATGATTAGACTTGGTGTCTAATTTAACTTTGGAGCAAAAGATATGAAATTTAATGATATTTTTGCATTATGTTATACCCACAAAATTCTTGGAGTATATTTGGTATTGTGGTTGTTGAGTTTCTCTATTACTAGTATATAGTGTGACTAGTATGAAACATCCAAATTATATATATACTTGTTCAAAATAATTGTGTTCTTTTATGAAAAAAAATATCACTTAAAATGTTGTGATTTTTCATGAAAAGATATGTCTATTATAATAAAAGTATTTGCATAGACATGAATATTGGTGAATAGTCATTTGTTATGTTTTTGTAAAAATAACATTTGGACTATATTGTCTTTATTGAACCCGATGAAACTTTGTTCATGGGTAGTTATATAACAATCATATTGAAAGTTATGGAAATGTTCTTCTGAAAAGGATATTTGACAATCTAAACAATGTTTGTATCACACAAAATTATAAGAAATAGGAACAAAATATTAGTGAGGAAAAAGCTACCTCGCGAAGAGCTTTTCAAACTCAATGTTTTTATTTGTTCTTACTTGCTTGAGTCAATGTTTGTGATATGAACACTTGGGGCATGTCAATTACAAAACCTTGTAAGACTTAGAAGTTTTGCCTAACTTTGAGTGCAATAAATAAAAATGTCAAGTTTTTGTGGAATCTAAGTATGTTGAACATTCTTATAAATCTGTTGAAAGGAATTCAAATTCCTTAGAATTGATTTACTTACACTGACATTTGTGATATGAAATTAACATCATCTCATAGTGAAAAAAAGTATTTGTTACTTTTATTGAGAATAGCATTATAAATGATTATTTCTATTTGCTGAATGGTAAAGATGAAGCAATAGAAATGTCTAGACAATGTAATATCGAAGTTGAAAATCAGTGTGAAAAAATATAAGAAGTGATAAGAATGAAGAGTATAAATCTCATTGTGCAGAAATATGTTTGAAAAGTGGAATATCCATCAAACTACTGTCATATTCACCTCAATCTAATGAAAAATCGAACGTTGAAAGAAATGATGGATGCATTATTTATAAGTTCGGGTTTACACAAAACTTGTGTGGAGGAACTATCCTTATTGCAAAAGGGAACACCAAAAGTTTTGTCTTTTTAGAAAGAAAGCGACTTTGTTTGATCAGAATACAATCTTTTCCATATGAGAAATGGAAAGGAAGGAAATCCAACTTGAAATATTTCAATGTGTGGGAGTATCCAGTCAAAGTTTCTATTCGTAAAAGAATTAAAATAGGACCTATCACTATGGACTGTAAAATTAGACTTGAGTAGTCTAGAGAATGGTCTAAAAGCCTAGGAAATGAAAATGATAATGTACTTAATAAAGAGATTCAGAGGCTTAGTAAATGTTAAAGAACGTTTACTTCCTTTAAATATGATTTTATATTATTTCTTGTGTCTTCTGTAGACTCATTCTTTGGAAAGATGGTGTCAATAAACAATATTGTAAGTTAATTGATCTTCTTCAAGAAAATAAACCTTTGGATTCAAAGTGAATCTTTAGAAGGAAAATAACAGTTGATGGAACTGTTGAAAAATATAAAGCAAGACTTTGTGTCAAAAACTTTAGAAAAAAATAAAGGTTTTGATCTTGTCAATATATATATACTCGTTAGTAATTAGAATTATATCCATTTGGATGAAAAAATTATTAGTGTGGTATATGACCTCCAAATTCATCAATTGAATGTGAAAAAAACTTTTTTAAATGTAAAATTGGAGGAAGAAATTTACATGGAACAACCCGAGTGTTTTGTGGTTCCTGATAAATAAAAGAAAGTGTGTGAACTTGTTAAGTCACATTATGGAAGCACCAAAACAATGACATAATTCAATCAAACCATGTCGGCAAATGGATTGAAGAATGATGGAGTGATAAATGTGTTCACATTAAAATCATAAGGTCATTGTTTGTTTGTATATTGGTGATATGTTGATCATCAATAGAGACACTAATGGCATAAATGCTACTAAACATACGCTATAAAGCAAGTGGAATGAAAATTATTAGAGTTGCTAATGCGATCTTAGATATAAGAATTCGTAGAATTCAATAATGTTTAGCATTTTCACGGTCTCATTGCATTGAAAAGGTACTTAACTAGTTCAAATATTTGAATGTTAATATTGTCAAGTGTCCAATAAATGTGAGCTTTGCATTTCAAAATAGTGAAAACAAAAGTGACTCACAATTGGATTGTGCTAGATTTTTGGGAAGCATGATGTATATCATATAGTGTGTGCGATCAGATAATGCATTTGCTATTTTAAACTAAGTCCGTTCACAAGTAATCCCAAATAAATTCATTAGATGACAATAAATAGAGTTATGGAATATTTAAAATAATACTTAAAACTATGTCTTGCATTATAACAATATCTAACAATATTGAAAGATATAGTGATGCAAATTGAATCATCAGAAGAATGAAGTAAAATTCACGAGTGGATATGTATTTACTATTGGTAGAGGATCACTCTTTTAGAAATATTTCAAAAGAGACATGTATCGCTAGTTCTACAATGATCTTTGAGCTAGGTGTTTTAGATAAGGTCGGTGAATAAGTTAAAAGACTCCGGAATTTCTTAATAGATATTCTATTTTGGCCCAAACCATTGGCATTAGTATGCATACACTTTCACAGTCAAGATGCAATAGGTAGGGCATGGAGCATGACGTATAACGGATAGTCTCGTCATATACGACATAGACATGATACTGTTTGAAAACTACTCTCTAGTGGAATTATCAGAATTGACTATGTAAAGTCAAAGGATAATGTGTCGGATCCACTCACAAAAAGGCCTAACTAGAGAGAAAGTTAAAACATCATCTAAGGGAATGAATTTACGGCTTAGGACAAGTCATCATGGCGGTAACTCTATCTAGCAGACTGGAGATCCCAAGAGCTAGATTCAAGGAGAAAAACAAAGTTATGAATGACGGTTAGGCATTGTCAATAAACTCAATCCATTCTCATGATGAAGACAATGCTCAGGGACAAGGATACAACATTAAGGCTTGTTAATGAGTTAATAAAGCTTAATGGTTTTAATGATTTGCTAAGTTTGGCGGAGCTAACCAAATAGTGTATTTACGCGATAACACAGTTAGAAATCACCTATGTGAGTGTGAAGTGTAAGCCGCTTCAAAGAAGATGATTGTCAAAAGTTTATCTCTCTATACACTCATGAAACCAGGAGGTGTTCACGGCTAAAACGAACACAACCGTAAGAACCATAAATGGTAAAGGGTTAATTGTGTGACATATGGTTGTCTAGGTATAACCAAAGTTCGACGGTTCAAAGATATCGCATCTACCGATTGACCGAGTATATCCAACATATGTTCACTATGGAAAGTCGAAGGGGAAACCTACTTATCCAGATGCAATAAATTATTGCTTGTAAAGTACATATACTTGTCCGTTTCTTTATTTTCGAGTCATTCCCCATTCATGCGGGGGATTGTTGGATTTTAAAAAAAGGTGTGAATGGAAAATGAAGAGTTGCGACTTATGAAGAGTTGTGACTTTTATGAAAAGTTGCGACTTTTATGAAAAGTTGCGACTTTTATGGAAAGTTGTGACTTTAATGAAAGGTGACGACCTTTCTGAAAGATTGTGACTTTTCCAAAGGTTTGTGACCTTTCCGGTAAGGCACGACAAGAATCTTTTCGCACTATCCTTTGTTTTCTATAAATTGAGGGATTTCCTCTCATTTTAAATAAAATTTATGGACTTCTTCTTCAACTACTAAATTTAGTATCCTAAGTGTACTTTACTGCCGTTGAGTGGTTCGCTGACACCGGAGTTTTTGGTATCTATACTCTGGTGATTGAGATCATTTTACCCTGGGAGGTCATATTCCAAATCAAATCTCAGATACTAGAGGGGAATAATTTCCTTAAGGGGACACTGTGAATTCAGTGGACTTGATCTTTTTCCTATTAAAATTTTTCCAGATTCTGGTACGTATTTTACAAACTTTAGATTTGTGAATTAATTTCAGTTCTTCTATTCTTTTGTTCTTCACTGGTTCATTAAACTTGGTAACTTCGTGTTTCTGCAAAGTTTGTTGGAATCAGTAAGATTCTTTAGGCACATATTAACAACAATTCTTCTTTAAGAAAAATATTTCGTATATTTTTTTAAAAAAATCTGTTTCTGATTCTGGTTTCGCTACTAGTTTTAATTTTCTAGTTGTGAAAATGTTTTTAAACATTGTTTTCTTACAAAGATGTTCAAAGTTTTGTTCTAAGTATGTTTGGAATACAAGATGAACAACAATTGTTTGTTAGTCTAAAACTTTACCTTAAAAATTAAAAAAGGAACTTGTTATGGTCAAGTTTCAAGGTGGTTGGAACTAACAAACCAAATGTACAGAGTATACCAACTTAATTTCGTGTGTTAAAAAAGCCAAATACCTCAGTAAGAACAGAACACAACATGTAATTGAGCCATCAAAACTTAGTATTGTAAGATTTATAATGTTATATACATTACATAACACTGACTGATGATGCTTTTCTTGAATGTAGCTCGTTATCGTCATGTTAAAATTTTGCCTAGAGAAGTATAGTACTCCTAAAAAGATTATAGGTCTATGCATAAGCCATGTACAATTAACAACCTAGCGCGTTGTTCAGGATAAAAGGTTGGAAAACTAATCGACTTTATGTAAGAGGAGTTATCGATGAACTGATTTCACCTTTCGAGTAATTGTTGACAGCTTCTTAATTCATGCTGCTGCTGGTGTGGAGGAAAGTTGTTTAGTAACAAAGCTATTGTTTACCATGTCACTCAATTCTGTGCATTTGGTGCTATTGCCATATTTTCCCACTTTTGGTTCAAATAGACAAGTGATCATGTTTCCCAAGGTCTTAGCTGTGTATTTTATGCGTTGATCTGCAGTAGTAGTAACCTCAAATTCTATGGAGGATGCGTATTTTTCCAGGTAACTACTGTAAGGAGGAAGGACAACGCGCAATACAAGTTGGCGTATTCTCCATCTTAGCCCCTTGTCACACAATTCCCAATTGGATTGTTTCTTGTAAATCTCATCGAAGGCCTCAGTGAATTCCTTGAGTTTCTTTTTAACTACTTGTCGATCAATGGCTCTACCTCCCGGGAACAACACTAGGCCTTCCTCGTTTAAAAGGGCCGGGAGTTTCTCCCAGCTCTCTTTCAAATAGAGTGTCTCGTAGTACTCCATGAATTCCTCGTGACCTGTAAGCCATTCATTTCCCATTAGCTCACCTAGTTTCGTTCCCCTCGTGTACTTGCACAAGTACCAATGGTTGTTCATCAAGAAGAAATAAGAAAGAGAGGCGTCCTCGTGTCTCTTTGCCCAAGTCCCTATATTGAGTCCAAGTGCTGTTACTATGTTCTGCATTTCATTTAGAAGAAGCCCCTTTTCGAAGCTCTCGTGGTTCCAACCTTGATGTATCTCCACAACTTGGATAAGTGTGGACCAATATTCATCCTCAAGCAGCTGATTACAATACTCTACGACAAAGTTAACCAGCCTCGGAACACTACCATCCACCGGAGGACTAGTTGGCCTCTGCAGTTCCACCTGAAGGGAAAGTTCCCAAAATATTTCACATATCCCATTCACAACTTTCTTGATCAGATCCCTTGTCTGAGTTTGGATTTCACCACAGGCTCTTCCACTAAAAAGTCTGTTGAAATCGGATCGTAGTTTGTTTAGAGAACCAAACATGTCCAATAGCTTTAACAACTTGATTGCTTCTTTCTTACCTTTCGTAATCGTGTTGCCAAATTTGATGAAAGAATGAATCCCAGATTGGACTGCAACTCTTGCAAAGCACTCCATACATCTATCCTTAAATGTTGCTTTACGAAACACCTCAACGCAAAGCCTGTGTTCTGTATCTAACAAATACTTCACAACAAATTCCAACTGTTTGTCCCATTGATCAATATAATGCTCTACACTCAAAACACTGTCAAACTCTGTCAATGATATCTCCTCCAGGTAATCCAAATCGAACCCTTCTAAAGCTTTCCTCACGTTTAACCCCCGAACCTCAACATAGACAGACATACATTTCTCAACCCGACCATTCACACCCAATCTCTCTACAACACGTTGCACATTTCGAATAACATCAGGCAAAGCCACAGAAAATGGTGCTATGCCTCTTAACATAGACGCGTATTCAACCTCCACCTTGTCTAACGCGATCATCAACACTCCACCTTTAGAACGAAAACGTTCCTCAGTACCCTGCAATCCTCTAACTATACTCAAACACTTGTTCACTTTCCTAACATACAGAGATGAATCACAACAACTACCGGTATCAAGCCAAGACACGACTAGTTTACAGTTATCGGTGAGTAAACCAAGTGCTTCTTCCATCCGTTTAACGGTTGTGACATAAGCAAACACATCTTCAGAAACATCATCATTTGAAAGGGATGTTTCAAATCCACATATAACATCAAATATGTTAACAACAGAAGAAGCAGGACCAATGACTCTATCAATATCATGAGTACTCATCTTATATAATGTACATTTACATGATAAGTCTCTTAAAGCAACTGATAAAAAATCAAGCCTTTGTTCACAACTCTCTAATCTCCAACTTCTTTCACTAATTTCAACTCCTAATTTTCTTGATTTCTCTACACTACACTTGAGAAGTTCTCTTGTAGCTTTGATCTTCTCAATGTCATACATCTTTTGTTTGTTTTTTTTCCTTGAGAAATCTTTGTGTTAAAAGTGAGTAATTTATATTATGTTGTTTTGTTTACCAAACTCAACAAATGATAACCAAACTTCACTGCCAAAACAAGAAAACAAAAGGTAGATCACTTTAAGGAGAATGTGCTTAGATATCAATGTACACTTGTTTTTTTTTTTAATTGTTAATTGTTTACTTGTAATTGCCTTTTGCTTGTGTTTTTGGTTCTTTTTTACGGAGAAATATTGATAATATCCCTAAACTTGAAAGTAAATGTTTAGTAACTATTTACAACCTTAAAAACACCTTTTTACTAATGGGACTTAAATGCACCCTCGATCTTGCAATGTGAATGAAATACAATCCTAAATTTTGGTCAAGAGTAGAAGTGTTCGAGAGTTTGAAACCACTAGCTATGTCATGTGGCAAATCGAGAATGTATTGGGGCATATCTGAATTTAGTTAGTCAAACAGAGGGTGTTTTTAAGATTATTAATAGTTAAAAGAACGAAACTAATAATTTACGCTAAGATAATTTCGGAATGTTTTCCTCCCAAACCGTTCATTATTTGTAAGCCAAGAAATTTCCTTGTTTGGCTCACTTTTAAAGGGCTATTCTTGGTAATGTTTTCTTCTTTTACCGTTTGTTCCTCCTTTTTATGAGCAAATCCTTTTTACCATAATAAATCTGTTAAAGGAAAATTTCAAAATACACCTTCAATTTCAAAATAAATGTTTTACTTTAATAGGAAAAAAAGTTATTTCAAAATAAGTGTCATTGTTGATTTATGACAAATTTTAAATGAAAAGACATTTTTAAATATATTTCAAGAAATTTCCTTTGTTACTTATATAATTTATTTTGTTATCATGATACATTAAATGTTTTTAGTAAAATATAATGAATAATTTATTATTAAGAGACAATGAACATTATGTATAATGAATTTATTTTATAAAGAAACATTTAACTCAAAAAATATAATACAACGAATCATACATATATATTGTACTTTATGTATAATAGGATTATTTTTCTTATGTAAATTTAATAAATATGATGCAATGATTATTGTATAGTCATCGAACTTTTTATATAAAAAATATAATTTTTTTATATGAATTCAATAAATATGATATATAAATTAGTAAGATTTAATAATTTTGACGTAATCAAAATTAACTTTAATTGAATCTCATAACACTATTTAAATTAATAAATGTAATTTATCGATTAAATAATGTATGTACAAAATAATAATATTGCATGATTATATCCATACTACCCTAAATAATTACTCTACCCCGACTAATTTCTCTTAACTGATACCAAATTAGTATCATATACAATATTGATATCATTAAGATTGATAATTTTATTTAATTAATACTAAATTGGTATATGTATATTATTGTATTGATATCATAAGAATATGTATTATATTTTTATAGTATCACTTACTAATGAATTATTACGCAAAATGACTAATTATTAGGAAAAAGTCTCATTTTTGCCACTTTACCTCTAATGGAGCTCTAACTTAGGGTAATTCTTTACTTGGTCAAAAATTGAGGAATAAACATCAACATCTCTTTGTTAAAAAAACAATTGTTATTACTAAAGACATATGTGGAATTTATTACTAAATAGAAGAAATAAAATGAATCACCTCGATCATAACATTGCACTGAATATATTATTACTTTATTGAAAATTTGATTTTTAATTATTTTTTTTACAGTATCACCGTCTCGAAATAAATAGCGAAAAAAACTTGTTACTTAAGTGAACTCTTTGTACGTGTCTATTTCTATGATTAATGCTTTCGTACGACGAATCATATGCTCCTACTCCATGTGAGGAAGAGAAATTAAGAAAAATGAAAATACCAAAGTTAAATAGATTCACTACTTGTAACAATCTATATGACAATTTTTATTTTAAAATATTTAATTTCATTATAATTGTGCATAACTTTTCATGTATTCAAACTAATAATAATCAAATCTTAAGATTTAATGTGATATTTTTTCTACTAAATAAACACCTTAATCAATCTTCTCGTCTTTTCTTCCCTCTATTACAAGTATACATACCATTCCCATTGTTATATAGTATGATTTTTTTTTAGTCTTGTTTTAAAAGAATAACGTCTTTTAACATTAAAAACTAAGGGATCGTTTGGTTGAAAACTAATATTCAGGATTAACTATCCTGTAATTAGTTATCCTAGAATAGCTTATCCCATCATTATGTTACAAATAGTGAAATAAATTATCCCAAACATATGAATCAAATAAGACATCTAAGTTTTATCCCGTGAATATCCATACTTATCCCGAGTATTTGATAATAAAAATTCTAGGCTTCACTCTCCGTAGTATTATCAGCACTCACCAAACAATATTTTACGAATGCCAAATTTGTAAGATCGCTTGCCCACTTACAAAATGAACAGAAGAAAATGATTTTTTCATATTTCTTACAAGGACATAAAACTAAAAATAATAATCTGAAAATGCTAACAACACATTTTTCTCCCTATATATATATCTAGTAAAGGAAAATATCAGGATTTGAAACTAAAAATAGATAGATATACCTGCATTGTATAACTTACAGAACCACATGATTGTGTTCCTATGAGAATCAAATGAACTGACAAATTCATGTGCACATTGCTTTTAACATTTACAATTACTACATAATTTTTGCCTGCAAAATACTCCTAACATCAAAATATGATTGAAAAAAACAGGCATAGCTGACTTTTTTCCCTTCCCAAATAGCTGCTGCATTCTCCGTTTTTCCACTTTGTTAATGTTTACACTATGTTCTTCCTACAAGTTCCGATAATTATTTTTACCATCGCGAATACATGTCAACTGAATTGCAAAAGAAAAACTGATCAGCGCGTACGTTACCTTTAGGATCATGGTAAGAAACAAGCTCTATGTGTCCCCCTTCTCACAATAGATGAAGGCATGAATAAGGGTCTGAGCGTATTCCACTTGATCTTTCGTCCCTGACAAAATAGCACAGCCGCATGCAGAACCAGCTACAGGATCATGAATTACTACCTTAGCGCCTGAAATCTGAATACAAAACACAAATGTTAACTTACGTTACCTATAAGAGAAACAGAGTTTCCCAGAGCAAATTGACCTACCCTCTTTATATGATGAAGGTTGCTAGAATCCTCTCCATAAACATATTTTATATACATTTCAGGAATTACCATTTCAACAGTAGTCTCTGGCAAATTAGGTGCTGCCTCACTGCAACAGATAGTTTTACATAAAGGATAAGGGAAATGATATAGGACAAAGTAACAAGAATACAAATCAATTAAGAAAGAATAGGAGGAATGTAGGTCCAAGAACTTTTTAGTCAATTGTTCAGATTCTACACCCCTTTCTCTTTAATCCCACTAGCAACGGATCGAGCATCCAACAGACTTCTTATACTATTGTCAAGTTTTATTATAAGGACCTAAATTATCTCCAACACAAACTTTACAACTCAACTCTTAAAACGGTTGACCTGTAAGCACTGCAAACATATACTGACTTGCCTTTGAAGTTTTAGGTGGATATTTTTCTTGCAAGAGACGCTCCCTCTAAATACAACATCCCCATCCTAGGTAGCATTGTTTTACTTTCCAGTAAAGGATATACATAACGCAATATATGTATCTATCTAGAAACCCTGTTTATAAGAGCTTTACAACTTAAATGCAAATTACAGGGAAGTGAAGAACTTAACAGACCTACCCTCATCCAGCTCAAACGGCAGAGCCACATACTAATGTGTGCCCAATTTTTATAAAGGTCCAGCTGCCGAAACCCAGGTTAACAGAATTTGAAGACTGCAATAGCATATCCTTATGCTGACTCTTTCATGACCACCTCTTAACTTACTTCCACATGGATACAAGTTCTTTTACATGGTTTCTCTAGGTTGTGCATACCAAGACATACAACTTCCCCAATAAAAATGGAAAACAGTGAATTGAGTTCATGCTTCTGGATAGCTTTTAAATTCATATTAGCATCTGAAAAGCATTATGCATCATTAGCTTCATGGCTGCAGCCTGCAATGAACCTAATTAAGCCGCAACCAACTAATTGCCCACTACTCTCACTTAAAGCTGCACAAGGAAGATCAAACTAGTTGCCCCAAAAGGAAATAAGTTTACCCAAGCAAATAAGAAACTAGTGAGTCCTGCACCAACAGGAAAACGGTAACCCTTTACTACACCCAACCCAGCACTCCCCACGAAGATTCAATGGATGAATTCAAGTTATTTGTAGTGATCTCAATCTCCTAAGCAACATAATACATTAGATCCAGGCAGAGGAAAACAAGTTACCTGGCACTGCTACAATCAGCCACTCCAGCTGTATGTCTAGAATTGTCTCCCTGGATAAAACAGCAAAGTAGAAAAGAAAATAGTCAGAAATGCAACCCCGTCATAAAAACGTATCAATAATTTATGTTTACTAGAAAGAGCCCCAACAAACCTGAGGACCCCATCTTCCAGGTGAAGGAGGTCTATCAAAATACGGAGCATGTCCTTGTCTCTCATAGCCATAGAAATGGGGAGCACGATCTGAATAAAACATTACAGTCTAAATCATGTAAAATTGCAGGCAGCAGTTCATACCGTTTGGGTGGAATATCAAGTACGTTTCATACCGTGAGGGTAGCCAACAGGTGAGTGGTAACTAGGAGAAGCAGGATCATGCCTTGGCCTGAATGACGGGGATGGAACTTCAGAGTAAGGGGGGAAATGCGGAGGGGCAATAGTTGAAACATGTGGTTTCACAGGAAACATTGCATCACGAAGCCTACAAGTAATTTGGAACAAAGCATCCTGGACAGACTGCATGCTCCCAATGACCTGTAGAGAATTCAAACAACAGGAGCCAATTGGCAAAATTCCCTCAGTAAAAAACAAACATGAAAGGAAGATAACAAGGGTGCACTCCTTCTCATTTATCTTTTTCACATAGACTTGTTAAGGTAAGTTCCACCAAGTGAGCCAGAATGCAACTCAATTTATATGATATACAAGTTCAGATAGTAAATACAAAACACAGACATGGAGAACACGTCTCTTTGATGATCATTAATGAAACACTTTGATTAGTCTATCTCCCTCCCCACCCCTGCCCCCAAGAAATGCAAGTTATATAGAGGTAGAAATGCAACTCACTTTATTTCAGATAGATATTTATCTACTAGAAATCTAACAAATACTACAACAGCATATAAAGTGTAGTCAGGAAATTTAACAAATACAGAACAGAAAATATGTATCTCCAATGATCATCAACAAAACACTATGATTTATCTATCAGAACACTAACCTCGATGTAACAACACCCCCCACCACCACCACCATACAACCCAAAGAGAAAGTTCCAGGTAATGAGTTATATAGCTGAGGTACCATATATATAACTAAGCTATATAATGCATATTGAAAAATTGGAAAAATTCCAGAAACACTCAAAGAAACCTAGCTGAGACGTGAAGCCTTACTTAGAATAAACTTCAAGGAAAATCTATATCTACCTGTAAAACTTCTTCTGTGTGGGAACCGTATTTTGGAGATTGT